GCAAGTCATGATAAATACTGACATTTAAAGTTGTCATTTTGACTTTGTTAATGCAGTTTTCAAGAGGTTTATACCCTAAAACTTGCTCCTCCAGAGTGTATTTCTACTTTTAATAGTGGGTATCACGGCCATATAGGGCATGGAGTTAATATAGGACATAGTTAGAAACATGACAAATAATGTTCCAGAAAACTCTGAGACACCTAGGTATGCAAAGTTGTATTGAATTATCTTCCAAGTAGAAATAAAAAGGAAAAATGGGTGCATATGAATATGTATTTATATTTATATCACATATAGGTGTCTATGTACATTCATAGCATATATACAAAAGAGTTCAATAAGAGATAAGGGTTCAATAAATAATTACCATTATGATATTATTATTATTGAAGAAATCAAAATAAAGTTTGGATACTCCTGAGAAGTCATTTAGAACAGCAGTCCCTCACCTTTTTCGCACCAGGGACAAGTTTCATGGAAGACAATTTTCCACTGAGAGGGGACTAGAGTCTGGGATTTGACAGGAGGCAGAGTTCAAGCAGTGATGTCAGTGATGGGGAATGGCTATATATAGGGATAAAGTGTAACTCACTTGATCTCTGCTCACCTCCTGCTGTGTGGCCTGGTTCCTAACAAACCAGGGATTGAAACTTTCTTAGCAGCAAGTTTCATGGAAGACAATTTTTCCATGGACTGGAGGTTGGGGCATAAATTGGTAATGCTGAATACAATCCCTAACAGGCCACAACTGGTACTGCCACAGATCTGGAATATAAATATTTAAAAGCTTCTCCTAGTAAAAAATTTCCTTATTCCATATTCTGGCTTATATTCTTGGTCAACAGCTCCAAACAACAAGACCTCAGATTCAGAGGACTGAAGTGAGCACCAACCATGTTCTGATTTATTTTGAAAAGGTAAGACTCTATGACTCTGCTAGACCTAGAAGAGCTACTAGAAGTTCTAACAAACCAAAACCCTTTCCTATAATGTTGTTCGTATATGCAGTTGAGGGAAGACACAACCGCTACAAAGGGAAATGAGGCCTGGACTGATGAACAGGCTCGATTCACCACATTTTACTATCAATACAACTGCCTCTTTTGTCCTTCTTTTTATCTGTCACTGAGTATGGTATGCACGTCACAAAATGCCACAATCCTTCCATAGGTTTTGTACAGGTGGATAGCATAACTACAGGGTTC